TGTCCCGGTCCCCGTCCCCCCGCCGTGTCCCCTGGCCTCACCGTAGACCCAGGCAATGACCACGCACTCCCAGAAAGCCTGCCACAGCAGCGTGATCCCGCTGGCCGAGTAGTTGTCAAAGAGCTGGAACACGTACATGCCGCCCTGCCGGGATGGCACCACACGTCACCGGGGCTGTGTTGCCTACCCCGTGCTGGCACGGGCACCTCCGCACCGCCACGGGCACAGCCTTGCCAGCATTGGTGCCCCACCTGGCATGGACACCCTGCACGCCATGGGCACCCTACGCTCCCACAGCACCCCCAGGGTGACAGGCATCCCCCATGGCATGGGGACCTCCACAGCTACAGGTACCCCCACGCCATGGGCACCCCCCGCTGCCGGGGCTGCAGCAGTCCCAGGGAGCTCCCACCCCACAGTGGGGCCCCATGGAAGGTGACATCCCGGGGGCAGGTGCGAGTGGCCCGGCCCAGTGTCCCCGCTGCGTCCCCCACCTGCGTGACCATGGAGAGGTCGATGAGGCAGCAGACGACACAGCAGATCGCAGCGGTGAGCTCGCGGCGCAGCGAGCCAGCCCCCGGCTGAGGGAACAGGTCCAGGATGCCCGTGATGAAACCCTCCACGCCGACAAACTGCAGCAGAGACCGGGGCTCAGCGGGGACGTGCCACCCCGTCCTGTCCCCTCCCTGTCCCCATCCCCCTGCACCCCGCTGCACCTGGCTGTCCAGCCCCAGCACAAGGAGCATGAAGAAGAAGAGCGTGGCCCAGAGCGGGGACAAGGGCATCAGCGTCACAGCTTTGGGGTAGGCGATGAAAGCCAGCCCGGGGCCTGCGGGAGAGTGGGGTCAGTGGTACCACCCCACGCGGGGACACAGGGGACACGGTGCCAGCAGGCACTTGCTGCCCAGCACTCACCAGACTCGGCCACTTTGGAGATGTCCACGCCTTGCTCGGAGGCCATGAAGCCCAGCACGGAGAAGACGACGAAGCCGGCAAAGAAGCTGGTGGAGCTGTTGATCACGGCCAGGATGTAGGCATCCCTGTGGGCAGAGCGGGTCAGAGGGTGCTAGGGGACACTGACGGGACACCGAGGGGACGCTAGGGGACATGCTGGGGGGATGCCCTACAGCCAGCACAGCCCTACCTGTAGCAGTTATTGTGGAAGCGGTTGTAGCTGCCCAGTGCGGTCAGGGCACCCAGTCCGATGGCGTAGGAGAAGAAGATCTG